ATGCTAAGCATCGATAACACTTTTCTTTTTCTTCATGCAGCTTCTAGTTGAGTTGGGGAGATAGAGATTAATTACATGATCTAAGATATAATTTCTCACTTTTCTCCCCAACCTATAGAATAAAGTTCAAAATCCTAAGCATTAGGTATCACAGTGTCCTTGTCTGACCCCTAACTTCTTTCCTCCTCATCCCTTAACATTATCATCTCCTTCCCCTCCAGCTAACAGACTCGCTTGGCAGTTCCCTGCGTATGCCACCTGTCTATCTCTATCAAGTCCTTGCACATGACTGCTTCTTTTCCCTGGTATTCTCCTCCTCTTTTCCTGCTTGGTGACCTTATCCATGAGAATTTTGCTCAAATATCCTCTTTCGTGGCAGACGTAGCCATTACATTTCCTGCACTTCCGAAGCACCTTCCCCTTCCTCATTCTAGCACTTGCAGTGCTGTGTTCCAGTGCTCTCTATATGACTGTTTCTTCCCTTAGACTGTGAACTCTTGAAGGTAGAAATTATGTCTTCTTTGATTTCATCTTCCTAGACCCCAGCACAAAATTTGGCTCCGAGTAAATGCTCAGAACATGTTGGTTGATATTAAATTGCTCTCTACAGCCTGGACATGGAGATTAGGAAAGAGAGATATGCATGGAAAGGAAGACAAAGATGCTTCAAAGACATGAGTTAATTAAAGTAAATTTGTACTGGGGATATTAAAGGCCAGTAGTTTTATTTTGAAACTTTAGAATTAAGAAATTTAACCAGAATTCCCTATAATGTAAAGAGGCTTTGGTGTAGACAGTGTCACATCGATGTCACAGAATGAGGCTGTAAGGCTGTGGACTTTAGGCATGAACTCTTCACGGGTTCACATGATGATGGAGGAAGAAATCTCCCCTCTTGATAGCGTGTGTGCTACCGTGATACGCTGTGGCTTGGCATTGTACCCAAGGACGCTCCTAGCCACGTACTCCAAACCCAGTAAGACAAGGACAGTCTGACACTAGCCTGCACCATTTGCCAGCTCTGCAAGATTCTTGCAATTCTTTTAGAAAAAAATGAAGGAGACTCATATTTACTGTGATGGTGATGACTATCAGCTCTAGAAGATGACCTGCTGGAGTGGCAGGTTTTATTCTTTTTATTTCTGAGAGATTGTTTTGCCTGTACCTCCCTAATGGGAGGGAGACTAGTAGTTTGTATACTGATGATGTTATGGAAGGCGAGGTGGTTTGACTTCAGGTCAGAGTATACTACAATATAAAAATAAATCCCTTTGCAATGAGAACACCTCCTGGCCTTTGCTTGAGAGGCCAGGTGCATCAGGTTGTGACAGGCCAGGATAGGAACATTTGGAATGTTTGCCCCCAAACCCTAAGGTGCCTCAGTGCTGTAGACATGGACATGCTTCCAGAACAGGACAGCACCGGGCGCTGGGGCCTCTGGTTCCCACCAGGGTGTACGTCCCCATTCAGTGTCTCACTGCTGCTGCTAGGAAACTGCATTAAGTTTCAGTAAAGTGTCTTGCCAGCGCGAGCATCAGTCCTGGTGTCGTGTTAAGGATACAGAGCAATGGAAAATGATCCCATGGACATTCATGTAAAATTAATTTACTTTTTATCCAAAGCTATATTTTCAATCATTCCCTGATAGAAATTTTTGTTAAATTGCTCATATAATGAACTGAAGATCACTTTTTCCCTGTAGAGTTTACTTTTTGCCCAGTGAATGATGTGAATATGATTTCAGAGGGAATTGTTTAGAACATTTACAAAAACACTGTTCTTCAGCCTTTAAAAACATTTTTTTTGAATGATAAAAATAAATCCAAATCTGAGACGGAGAGGAAGGTGGGGTTAGTATGAGGAACTGTGGGGTTTCAATTCTATAGCTGATGTTTTATTTAAAAAAAATAAAAGTGACTGCAAAAAGCTGAGTAGCCGGTACTTTGGTGTTTCTTATTTTGCAGATTTGTCTCTGAGATTAAATGCTTTATGATATACTCATTTGAAGGATATTTGGCATAGGGTTAGACAATTTCAAAAAGCAGTAAGGCCATTATAAGTTACTTTTGTTATGAATTTTCTACTTGGAGATGTTTTTAAAAGGCTCATTAGTTTGTGTTGCTGTGTGTATGTCTTTTCTTTACAAAACATATTATGATTCAGACTCTTAATATAATCTGGCTGTTGTCTTCATTATTTTGTATTGGGCAAGTCTTACATTTTAAAATCTGGTAAGAAAAATTAAGCCAACACATGAAAGATGAAGATTTTGAGAAATTAGGTTAACCAATGATTTATATTCAGGGTGCTGGCAAGACACCCAGGGTTGGCTCACCAGGAGGGATGCTGCTCTCCAGCCTGTTCTCCTCAGTCTCTGTTGCCTGCTGGAGGAGGTTCTAGTACTTTGTGTCAAGTCAGTGTGACTGAACTCCCACTAGCTTCTGTGGCCCAGTGCAAGTAAACAGTGGAAGCCATGCTCATTTGGAGCATGCCCACGGTTTCAAGGAGGGGAATGCAAGTACCTGGTGGTGGGCTGAACAATAGCCCCCAAAATGTCCATGTCCTAATCCCCAACACGTACCAATATGTTAACTTATATGGCAGAAGGGACTTCGTCGATGTGATTAAGTGAGGATCTTGAGATGAGGCGACTCCATTGGATTATCTGAGTGGGCTTGATGTAATCACAAGGATGCTCACAAAAGGGAAAAAGATGGTCAGATTCATAGAAGATGTGACTGGGGAAGCAGAGGTCAGAGGGATGTGGCCACAAGCCAAAGAAGGCAGGCAGCCACTAGAAACTAGAAAAAGCAAGGAATAGACTCTCCTCTAGAGCCTCTGGAAGGAACACAGCCCCGTTGACATCTTGGTTGTATCCCACTGAAATGATTTCGGACTTAGGACCTCTGGAAGTGTAAGATGATAAATTTGTGTTGTTTGAAGCCACAAAGTTTGTGGTTATTTCTTACAGCAGCCATAGGAAATGAGTACAAACAGGCTTGGCTTGAGAAAGGGTGAGCAACAGTATGGCAGGGAGGGGAAGACCTCCCTCGATCAGAGATCACAGGGCTCACCGAGAACTTGAAAAAGGCGAGGGTTAAGTCCTCAACAGTGCTGGCTTTGAGTCAGACTACCTGACTTACACCCTGGCACCAACGTTTATTTGCAATGGAATCTTGAGTAATTGAACCTCTGTCTGGCTTTGTTCTTCCTTATATAAAAACAGGAATGATAATAGAACTTGCCTCATAAACTTGTTACGAGGCTTAACTCACATAATCCATTCAAAGCATTTGCACAGTACCTGGCACAAAGTAAAGGTGCTATAAAAGTTGGCTATTATTATATAAGTTCTCAGCTATTGAAAGGGCTTGCCATGTGTTCATGGCTGCTGAATTTTATTAGCACACTTGATAAGGCCAGTCTTTCTTTTGGGAAACCACATAAATTATGCATCATATAAATCTAAAAGAAATATCTACTCATTCTGGGGGCAGTGGCATTGTGGTTAAATACATGGTCATTACATTGGTGAAGGCTTTGTTTTGTTTTAAGATGGGAGTCAACAATAAATATAGCTGTATATGTTTGCTACGTGAGGAACAGGTGTGTTGCAGTGAAGCGTGTTCATGGATACCTGTTTAGGTCTTAACTCAGAGGAGCCTCAGATTTGCATTCTTCTACTTATCCTGTGCTCACAGTAGGAGGGTTTCCTTAGAATAGCGAAAATCTTCCCAGGGTAAGGAGGACCATGTGAGGGGAGTAGGGAGGGTGTGTGTACGTACACAGCGTCATTGTAGTGGTGGAGTTACGAGAATGTGGAGAACCTCACAGCTCATGACCAGTGATTGGTTTATGGCACGGTTATCCCTCAGTGGAAGGTGGAGCAGCTTGCTTTAATTCCACCCTCCTATTCATTCTACAGAACCGTTTGTAATGAAGTCCTTTCGTACTTTACAGTAACTACGTCTCTTTAGATGGGACCTAGTGTGGGCTGCCACCCAGCTCATCCTAAATTCTCCTTTGTGCGTGGCATTTGAGTCGGTCAGGGGTAGCATTCCAGACAGAAAGGAGCCCATGTGTGCAGTAAGGCAGGAAGACAGGAGAGAACAAGCGTACATTTGGCAAATTACAGATAGTGGAGGCATATATGGTGTGTGCCAGAGTAGGGGGGTGGATGAAACTGGATTTGTCCACTGATGCACTCATACAAAGAGCTTTGGGTCTCCACCTTAGAAGCGTGAGCTTGATCCTGGAGCCCTTCCTCTTCCAGAGGTGCCATATTAAAACAAATGCCCTGGGAATGGGAATAAAGGGCTTGGTGATCTCGAAGTTGTGGAAATGCTGAGGAAAACAAACCAAAGAGTTTCTTTCTTTTAGAAATTCTCATAGCTTATTTTGAATTTCCTGGAAGCACTTATAATAGGTAAATAGAAATGAGACTCAGAACTAAGGAATGAGTGGGTCCAAGAGATATTCAAGATCGAGAATTTAAGACAATTGATGACAAATTACATGGACGGGGATATAGGTGATGGAGAAGGAAGTTCAATGCAACCCTAGTTTCAAGTTTAGGATTTTATGCAATAGCTTACGAGTTTTAGATAATAGAGGAATAGAGTATATGTGGGAGAAAGAATCAATTTTATAGGAAGATAATGAATTTCAAATTTATTTTGGACTTATTTTATTTGAGATACTGAGAAGAGAGCCAATGGTGCTCATGTCCGTAGACTTTTGAGAGTGTGGCTCTGGGATGAGGGGAGTGAGGGGCTGAAACGCTGGATAGAGTGAGCTAGTTTGAGCCATGGGTGTGCGTGAAGACCTCCCAGAGATGAGATTGTAGGATTTCTAAGGCTTACATGCAAATCATATTCAATTACTAATGTTGTAGCCACAGGCAGAAGAGTAGAGCTATAATTTAGCTTTTGAGTGCTGACTCTTGCATTCTGACTAAGATCATTGTCATGTTTAAATAGAAGCCTTATCTGCTCTTTCAGAATCACGGCTTGTGCAATGACTATGAATAAGTATGTGGAAGAAAATGTATCTCAGAAATCTTACACGACCATCAAGTACTTCATGAAGATGCTGAGCAGTGTCAGCGAGACCTTGATCTTTATCTTCATGGGCGTGTCCACCGTTGGGAAGAACCATGAGTGGAACTGGGCCTTCGTCTGCTTCACGCTGGCCTTCTGCCTCATCTGGAGAGCACTGGGTAATGAACACGTGTTTGCTAAATGAACATTCGGGGACACTCACTGACAGAGGGGGGCTTTCCTCTTGGCCATCCCTTCCTGCATCTGAGGCTCCTTCTCTATCTTCATTTCTTCTTCTTTCTCATCTGTTTCTTCCTCCTCTCCTTCCTCTTCCTCCTGCTCATCCTCCTCTACTTTTTTCTCTTCTTCATCCTCTTCTTCCTTCTTTTCTTCTCCTTCCTCATCTCCTCCCTCCTTTTCCTCTCCTTCCCTTTACATTCTTTTCTTCCCTGAGTATCTTCAAGCCTTTGCTCTAAGTCACATTAGTCTGTCTTGGCTTCTCTGATTTCACATTTTCACCCATCATCCTGGAACAACAATGTCAAAGGCCAGAGCCTTTGATACTAACAAGACAGACAAAAGGGGAAAAGACTGCGGAGCCTAAATCGTTTGCCCTGTCACAGAAGCACAGAAAATGAGCCTTTGTATTTTCACATTCTGGCCTCACAGTTTATTTTTTGGGTGGGGGGTTGTTCTCTGCAGGTGTCTTTGTCCTGACTCAGGTCATTAATTGGTTCCGGACCATTCCCCTGACCTTTAAGGATCAGTTCATCATCGCCTATGGAGGACTCCGGGGTGCCATCTGTTTCGCACTGGTGTTTCTCCTTCCTGCTGCTGTGTTTCCTCGGAAAAAGCTGTTCATCACAGCTGCCATTGTTGTCATATTCTTTACTGTCTTCATTCTGGTGAGTAGAGTTCTTTCTCCTAGAAAAGTCTCTCCCTTTACCAGAAGGAAACAAGATCTCTCAGACTATGGTAATGAAATCTGTTTACAGGATGCAAAGTGGCAAAGGTGTGTTGGAGCTTTGGTAGTTATGTTATTAGGGAAAATGATATTTCCTATCTGGGTTCATGTCCCTGGACTGTGCAGGGGCCTAAGAGAGTCCAATTTGGTCATGTGGCCTACACAGAGGAATTATTATTTAAGGAAACTCAACTAAGTGATCTGAGCTTACTCCTGGAAAATTATGAACTGCACTTGCTAATCCTGGTCATTTGCCTTGCTCTCTGACCTAGTAAATGTTCTTGTTAAATGATAGTTGTGCATGATTACTTCCCAACAGCCATTTGACATGAGTTGACTGCTTAACAGTGCTCCCCCTGAAACACAGGAATGGGTAGATACAAGCTTAATACTGGGAGGCAGAAAATGGGATGGACCTGTGTCCAGATCCTCACTTTGAAGTTCATCAATCTCTTTAAGTTAATATGCAAGCTCTTAGAAGATTATATTTTGAAGATATTCATTTATGAAATATTTATTGGACTCCTGCTATATGCCAGGCAGTGCTCTAGGAGCCTTAAGATCCATAAGTGAACAGAACATAAAAAGATCCCTGTCCCTGAAGAACTTACGTTGCAGGGCTGGAGGGGGCAGGCACTAGAGAAGAAACACAGTAAATAAGTAAATTATAGAGCATGTTAGAAGGTGAAAGATGCTATGCAGTAGGGGAAAGTAGAGGATCAGGCATGGCAAGGGTAAAGTAGTGGGGCATTACAATTCTGATGGAATGGTCATGGAAGGGAACAGTGAGAAAAATGACAATTGAGCAATGCAGGAGGTGGGATTAGCTAAGCCCAAGAACCTTGTGGGAAAATGGGCTGAAAGACAAAGTGTGTCCTGAAGGCAGCGTGCTCTTGGCCAGTGTGGTGGGAGTGGAGCAGTAGGAGAATGAGACAAGGAGAATCCAGAGCCCTAGGTCACCTAGGGCCGTGCAGGCCAGTGGAAGGAGTTTCGCTCTTCTCCAGGTGAAAGGAAAGCCATCAGAAGGGTTTGTGCAGATGCAAGATGTGTTCTGACTTCATAAAAGGATCATGCTGGCCACTGTGTTGAGAATAGACTGTCAAGGGGGAACGTGGAAGCTAGGAATTCAGTGTGGAGGCCATGCAGTCACCAGGCAAGACCGGGCCGGTGCCAGTGGAGTTGGTGAGAAGTGGCAAGACCCTAGAATATATTCTGGAGCTGGAACCTACAGGAGTCCCTGATGTTAGACATGGGTGTGCAGAACCAGGAATCACAGGTGACCCCGGGGGTTTGGGCCTGAGCAGCTGGAAGGATGGACCTGCCCTCAGTGAGAAGGGGAAGTCCATGCAAGGAGGAGGTAGGAGGCGGAGACAGGTAGTGCGATCGCGATCGTGGGATGCGGGGGGAGGGTGTCTGTTAGACCACCAGTGGAGATGCAGAATAGGCAGATAGTAGCAGTCTGGATTCAGGAAAGAGGTCAGTCATCAGCAGACAGCTGGTATTAGAAGCCACCAAAACTGGATGTCATTGTCAAGGCAATGAAAATATATACCGAGGAGACCAAAAAAGAGGACCAAGGATTGAGCCCTGGGGCAGCCCAACCTTAAGACATCAGGGAAAAGTGGAAAGCTGCCAAGGAGATTGAGAACAAGTGATCAGTGAGGTTGGAAGAAAAACCAGGAGATGTGCATTTTTAAAAAAATTTTCATATTTACTTGATAATTAGTCACAGAATGCTTTCTAGGTGCCCTACTCAAATCTAAGCATCTTTTATGTCAATTCATTTAACTCTCATAACAATTCCATGGCATGTAACTCTTGGAGGAGCCGCTGTTTGTTATCCCTATTTGTAGATGAAGAAAGTGAGGCGCTGAAACTGATGTTAAGCAATTGTACCAAGCTGACACAGCTAGTAAAAACCAGTTTACTCTTAACCCTACATCAGGTGCCTAGCAGAGAGCCTGCTGGGTAGTGAGTGCTCAGTATTGCAACACATCACGATTCTCCTCCTTCCTCCTAGTCAGCTCTCCAGGAGACAGTTCATCCTTCAATTATCCACACCTCCCAACACTGGGGACAGGGGCTTGTCTGGAATCCTAGAGAAGGATGCCTTGGGAGACCCTTTCCCAAGTTAAGATGACCGCTTTCTGTTATTGCCTTTGTTGTCAACACCTTTCTGAGGCCGATTCTCTGCAGTGATCATGGACATCATAGTCTGTCAGGCAACAGGACGAGGGCCTGGTTGTTGATGACACTCAAAGGAAAAATGCAGAATTCCTCCTCTCAAGGATAGAAAGTATCGCCATCATATGTAGGTCAGGTTAGCAAAGGTCTTTCTGTGGAGGTGATGTTTAATCAGAGATGTGAAAGACGTGGAGTCAGCTAGGATCTGGGCAAAGACCATTCCAGACAGAAGGAAGAATTGATGCAGAAGTCCTAAGATGGAAAGCTCCCAGAACAGAAATATGGAACCAAGTGGGTAAGGAGAGAGTGAAAATAGAAAGATAGAGGAAGCCACCCATTGTTGAGCTTTGATAACTTGAAGTAAAGAGTGTGGTTTTAATTAGGGGGTGATGTTAGGGTGAAAATAGAAAGATAGAGGAAGCCACCCATTGTTGAGCTTTGATGACTTGAAGTAAAGAGTGTGGTTTTAATTAGGGGGTGATGTTAGGGTTTTTTTTTTGTTGTTTTTTTTTTTTTTTTTTTTGAGACAGAGTCTCACTCTTTTGCCTGGGCTAGAGTGAGTGCCGTGGCGTCAGCCTAGCTCACAGCAACCTCACACTCCTGGGCTCAAGCAATCCTCCT